CTGAGTGCGCCGTTTATTCGCCAACCGTATAGACAAAAGATCGATCCGTCATCAACCGCCGACGGCGTCGTGCCGTTCTTCGACCAACTTACATAATGTCTCGGCAATTCCTTTATAGCTGAACTTAACATGATTTTTCTGAACATAATAACACATAGTGGTCGAAGGTTTTGAACATAACATGCAAGCGTTCTCGGGTGGCCCGTGGTGCGCACTACGTGTGCGGCCACACCCCTCTCGGCCAATGTAATATTAACATGATTAATTGCCCGAACAATTGAGTTAAACTAAGCATGAAATTGCATATAGAGGCTAAGCATGCAATAATGGTCGGAGAAAAATTAACTTGACATGCACGAGCAAGTGTGCACGGCCCGTGGTGCGCTACGTGCGCAACCACGTTATCCTCGGCCAAATCTTTTCAAACATGACATATCATCCGAACATTAAAGCTAATTTAAACATGATATAACATATAAAAATTAAGCATGCAAGATTGCTCGGGGAATTCTATGAAAATCATAACATGGTTCGGTGAATTAATTTATAGCATGACATGAACACACGGCTACGGGTACAATTATTCAAACACGCATGCATGACCATAAAATCTCATCTTAATAAATATGCTAACATTCTCGGGAACTTACCTCTTGCTAAGTCGTAGGGACTAGTTCTTAAACTCCCGTGCGATGACCTTCCGCGTGCGATGGTGTGCGATGTGTGCGCTCTCGGCCTTCCGTGCGATGGCTCGCGGCGTGCGGCGCTCTCGGCAAATCTCCCGAACAACTCCAACAATTCTCACAAAATGCAATGCACTCACAACAAAATTTAACCTCTCGGCACTTAGTGAATGAAAGGGTGTAAAAATGAAATCACTCTCCCAAGTCACCCTTGAAAACCGAAAGATGTGGGCGGAGGAAAAGAGGGGTTCGGTCAAAGCTCACTCATGCACTAAGAAATTGTCTTATTCTCACGTGAAGGCCAACAAAATTGCACGGCATTTTAAGAAAGATGCTCACATGCACGGCAAAAATAAGACAATGCACTAACCCACAAAAATGGCACGGAATCTCGGGCAAGCAAGGACAAAAGGTGCATGGCCTCTATGCACAATGCCTTGGAATCTTGGACAAAATGTTGGTAACATGACAAAGGAGTGGCGCGGTCTTCATGGCTAGCACAAGGACAAGACACGCACGGTCTCGGACACTCCGCCCGCACAACTACTCGCACGGCACTCATGAACGAAACGCACGGACACGGCATGCACACGTGAACTCGAACCGAAACTCGCACACGACATGAATGCACCCAACGCACGGCGATGAACATGAACTCGGGATAAAATCCGAACAATTACTAATCTCGTGATTAAATTAAATTAATCACTTAATTATATTTAATTACTCAATTAAACATAATGCTAAATTACCAAATTATTTCGAACGTAAACGGTACGTCGAAAATAGTTCCGTTAATTTCAACTGAAATAACTGAAAATAAATACTTCCGAAAAAAATAATATCGGAACTGAAATATTATTACACTGATAAAAGTCGGGATATTACATTGTGCGTTAAGTATAACACTATTGTGCAATTTGTTTAACAATAATGTGCTTTGTGGCCCATGCAATTTTATTTTATTACAAATCTAAACTAAAACTAAGTTGAATAATTATTTTATTCTATTGTTTATTCAAATCAACCTAATCAATTAGAATAATTTATTACTTTTATTATATAAAATTATTTAAAAATTCATTATTTTTATTGATTATTCTATATTATTTTAAAATAAATTAATATTGTAAAATTAATTTTATTTACATTTATTATAAAATTATTAGTTATTATTTTTATTATTATATATTATTTTATCATATTTTAATACGTTCATATAATTTTTAATATTATTTTAATTTTTATCATATATTATTTATCATATAATATTTTAATATTATTTTAATTTTAATATTTTATCATATATTATTTTATCATATATTATTTTCATATTTTATAATATATTACTTTATCATATTTTAACATTTTCATATAATTTTTATTTAGTATTTAATATATATGTATAAAAAAAAATATCAATATAGATATTTCATTTTTTTATAATGTTTATATATAATATAGATTGGCCCATGTACTAAATTGTAATATATAAATTTTCTCTAATTGCATAAAGATCCTTCTATCTCATCAAATTTTCAAGTAGCAGCCCTTAATTTTTACAGGTTCAGGAAACGGTTATTCAGACACCGGCAAGGCCCAGCTCTACTCTACCGTGACTTCGACGATGCCGGAAAGAAGATATCTCCGATGACGCTGTGTTAGAGGTATGCTGTAAAAGCTCTTATTTACAGATTTTATCAATTCCATTTTGATCTGGCCATCATGTTTTGGTCAAAGTACATATGCTTGCAGTTTATTTATTTATGCAATCATACTCCTTGTCTTACATTGAGATAGTGTGGTTCGAAGTGTTTCGAACAGAAAGATCACCTATTGGTTCCTTGTAAGACTAAACTAATCGTTCACAGTCTAGATAGGCAGTGAGACCCCTCTTGGAAAAAGACTGTAGTGTATTCTTGATTCAGTTGGTCTTTGACTGGAGAATTACACTAGCACTTATGATAGGTGTTGAACAGGACCACGGAAGGATAAGATTATGAGACTCAATGACCGTTGTTGTAATCTAGATCTTCAGTAATTGATGCGTACTCTTAAGCTGTAAGATAATATAAAATGCGCATATGTATTCATTACTTATTTATTTGATTTATCAAGGGTGATTCCTATTTTGCTAGGATGACATACTCGGTATTTTGGTAAATAAGTGTGTTTATATGATGTGCCGTTATAAATTATTTACGGTCACTGTGTCCCAGTGCACTGGGTTGATGACGTCCCCGAAATGAGCTCAGGAAGGAATATTATGTCAAGCCCTGCAGGCGGATGTGTTATCCGGCACAATGATTAAGGATCTGAGTGGTACTAGTTTCGGAAATGAATAAGAAGTTGATTAATTATTTTGTCAGTAATTTAATTAATCAACGGACGTTATATCTTAAACATGAGGAGATAAATCGATCAATTGGATTAATATATTTAATCAGTGGAAACGAATTAATTGTAATTCGGAGCTAAATGGGGAGAGCAATAATATTACTCTAGTGGAATGTTTTATTATTTAATTCCAAGATTAGGAATTAGGAATTAATTATATTCCACAATTCCCTAAGGGTGGGAATATTCCTTCTAGAATATTATCTAGGGTTAGGAGACTATGGAGTCTTCTAGAAGGTAATTAATTATTAGGAATATTATCCTAGATGGGAAAAGGAGATGGAAGATAATAAGGATTCCTAAATCTTACCATACTTAGCACATCCTTTAGGTCCCTATTGTAGCCTATAAATACACAAGGTCCCCTAACCTCTTGAACATGCTTTACACGTTATTCTCCCCGAAGGGCTGGAGAAATTCGGCCTCTTCAAGCGAGAAAGAAAGAGAGAGATTCTTCTTCAAGAGAAAATTAGGTTAGCGCCGTGAGGTCTTAGAAGAAGATGATCAATGAGGTTTTGGGAAATCTAATAAATCGCTCCACCAAGATTTATTAGAGATCGTGTAAAGGTCATACAATAGAAGATCGAAGGTTGTTATTTCGTATCCATCAAATAAATATATTTCCCAGCTTTCCGTCCAATTCCCGCGCCAGGTACTGTTCACGCCTTTCGCGCACAGGTGGCTCTCGTTCAAGTTAGCGCGAGCCTAGGAAAGGAAGAGAGCGTGTAGCGCATTGTTCTTGAGCGTGGATTCTCTGCGCGAGGTCACGGGTTCGAAACCCACAATCAGCAATTTTCCTTTTTTTGTTACCAGCATGTGTGAAGGAGAAGCGCGCGGGCCGTACAGCCCGCGTCTCAGCCAGCAAGCCCGCGTGTCCTCACAGCCCTTGGCCCGCGCGGCCCGCGAGCAGCCCACCTCCAGCCCGCGAGCATTGTAGCAGCCCAGCACACTTTTGTGGCCCAAATTTGGGCGTCCCTGGCCCAAGTGCGCGAGTCTCTACGGCCCAACAGCTTAGCGCGGCCCAGCAAGTTACAAGACAGCCCAGACCGGTTCAACTCGAGCCCAGTGCGTGACCAGGCAGTCCAGATGCATCCCAGACTGGTCCAGCGTGCTCCAAACTGACCCAGCTCGGTTCAGAAGCTCTGGTTCATGTCCGAGATGGTTCCCGAGCAGTCCAATCCACTCACCGAAGATCCGAGACGATCCGATGAGCTTGATGAGCAATTGGAGCACCATGGTGACTCGATTAGAATCGAGAAAGGCCAAGTCTAGCTGCCCATTAGGCTTTGGTGTTCAGACAATCTCCATCAACGGAAATCAGAAACGTCTCAGAGTCGGCAAAAATTTTTAAAACCGGAAGTCCTAATCCTAACTATAGATTCTGCTGCGTTAGGATTTATTATTCAATAGATTTGAATGTGCACATTGTCGACGTTCCTAATAGAACCCAACAACTGGTATCAGAGACCAGGTTAATTTGACTTTGTGCACTATTCGAATTAGGGCTTGCGTGATATATGTGAATTAATTGTGTACAGACGCAGCGCATAATAGATTAGAATTGCAAATAAGTGTGGTTGCAGGTATTCTAGAATCCATCTATTATAGTCCGCATGTATGTTTGTTTTTTAATTCATGTATGTTTTTTTATAAGCCTCGGACATGTCAAGGATTTTTGGGTTGGTGAATGATTGTAATAATTTATTCGCGCGGTG